ATGGACTTTTCTGAAAGATCCCATTAGGCCAGTCCAGTTTATATTAGCTGTTGCTATGGCAACTGATAGCCGGCTTAAGCAAAAGGTAGATGCATTGTTACATTTAATTGTCATTGGCTCCTGTCGTCAAGCAGTAGCCTGGTGCTCAGGCTTTGGTTCCTAAATTATTTACTATTAACAAATGAAACAGATCTGCCTGGAGAAATGGCTGAGTTCAGAATTAGAGCAGGACAAACAGGGATTGGGAACAACTTGACATAAGCAAGAACACAAGGAGGAATGGAGTCGGACAAAAGAACTAGTTTAAGGGCAAATTCTGGACAGTATGAAGATCAGAAGGAATAATGATGGCAGTTGATTATTACAAACTAAAAAAAAAGGGAGAAACTAAAGAGGGGAAGCCCTATTTATTCAAACAAAAGAATATGAAAATAATGACAGAATTAGAAAGAAATCTTTGTTTTATAGTCCCAAATGGAGTAAAGCAAGGATGATCAATAGATGCTACACCCATTGTGGAGAATGATTTGGGAATAGGACAGCCACATAGTAATGCGTTTTTATCCTCTGAGTATTTATGAACACAAAGGGACACTTATGCCTTTACAATGGGAGGGGGTGTAAATAGGAACCATGTTAATCAGGAGATTGAGCTTATAATTAGATAGGCAGTGGGACAGACAGTCTAACACTTTTGTCTTCTGATGGGGTAGAATGTGTAGTTCGCAGTATGGAGTATTTTTGCTGACAGTTTCTTTCTCCTGAATCTAGACTTCACTTTGGAGGCAATAAAAAGGATAGAAGACCATATTTAATGATTCTATGAGAAGTCATCAGACTCAGGCAGAATGTAAGACATTTATAAAACAATCAGCCGTTTTGTCAAAGAGTCGATGCGGGCATAAAGTAAAAGCAGGATTTTCAGATCAGAAGCTATTGCAGAGGTAAAAAAAAATGCAATGAAATAACTTGATTAGAGCCTAAGTTAGGTAAAAAAATGTAAAAAATTATGGGATAGGCAATTCTGGAGAGTTAATGCAGGATGGAGTCTAGGTATCTGAAGTTGCTGTTTTCTTACATGTAATACTGGTACTGCTGGTCTGTAGGGAAATGTCCTTGTTTCTAGGAGATGCATATTGAACTATTGAAGTGCAGTGCTTAAAACTTTCAAATAGCTCAGCCAAATACATTTTAAAAATATGGGGAAAAAACTCCAGATGGCTCAAGCCTGTAATCCTACCTACTCAGCAGGCTGAGATCTGAGGATCATAGTTGAAAGCCAGCCTAGTCAGGAAAGTCCTTGAGACTCTTAAGTCCAATTAACTAGAAAAAAAAGCTAGAAATGGAGCTGTAGCTGAAATGGTACCTCAGCCTTGAGTGAGAAAGCTAAGGGGTACTGCCCAGGCCCTGAGTTCAAACCCCAGAACTGCCTCTCTCTCAGAAAAGGGATGGGTATGTAGCCCAGTGGTAACTTAGAGCCCTGGTTTCAATCTCCAGTGCTGTAAACACACACACACACACACACACACACACACACACACACACACACACACACACGAATAAACAAAAAGAAAGGGGATGTATGCACAAGCATTATAATGTTATTAGAAATGTGTGAATAGGAAAGAGTGCTCTTTTATATTGTTCTTTCATCTTTTAGATTGATTTTTTTAACAAAGGAAGGTAATTACAGAACAGAAGAGTTGCAGTGGTAGGCCAGCTGAGCTGGCCCACAGGCTCAGCTGTGTTTGGGGTTTTCATAATGACTTGGGGCAGGCCTCCTCCATCCCTCAACTGGGCTCCTGCTTGTGCATATGGCTGAACACTGGGGGAACGTCTAGGGAAGTGTGTGCCTAGTGCTATTAGCTGAATTCTGGAGCACTGTTAAAAATCCCCTGATAGATCTAATAGAGAAGCTTGAAACAGAGCCCAGTTTTAGTGTGCTGTAGTATTCCAGTGTCTGTAATATTGCACTTATCCTGTCTGTAACATGCCCTTTCCGAAGGTGTTGACTAAAAAGATATATTTAATGGGGGAAATCAAGTTTGGGGATTGTCAGCAAACCAGTAACTTTTTTCAAATGCAAGTCAGTATTAGTTGATTTTTTTAAAAGTAGAATTGAACTGGTTAAGGGCAATTAAGCTTAACATTGATTCCAGAAATGAGGGGAAAGCCCGTTTCTAATCCTTCTTGCCTGTGTCTTCAATGACTATTATATCCTGTTTTTACTTTCAGTAACACGATTTGCTTTTTATTTTTCCCCTGAATTAGAGATTAAAGGACTTTGTAGAAACCCAATGAAGTTTTCTCTGCACATGGGGAAAATTGGGGTTTGCTATGAAATCTTCAGAGGGTGGTGTTTGACATTATGCCTTTGTTCCTTGGTGAGTTATGAGTTGGGCACTTAATTATGTAAAAGAAATATTGCAAGTGAACAGTTGCATAATCCCCCCGAGAGTAATTATTGCCTGTCTTGGCAGAATGCAAGGCTTTTAATCTGTAAATAAGCAATTCTGTGTGGGGAAGAGTAACATGCAGAGGGATTCTGTGTTGTAAAGGTCTTTTATGAATTTTTTAAAGCAAAAACAGGAACTGTGCATGCTGATTGGCTGCAGCCTTTCTGTTTCAAAAGGCTTAAGATCGGATCTTCCCTGATGGTTTAGCCCCTCCTGAAATATTTAAGCCTCTCAGAGTGGTTCCTATGAAGGATAAGACTCTTGTCAAAATTAAGCCCACAACACTTAAATCTGAATGCCTTAAATATAGAGGAAATCAGATGTGCTTTCCATAAATCAAATGACAGAGACAAAACAAAATATTGACAATGCTTTTAAATTAAAAACAAACAGGTACTATTGGCTCAAGCTTGTTCAGAAGGCTGAGATATGAGGAGGAAAGTCAGTGACTCTTAGCTCCTACTAACCACCAAAAAGCTGGAAGTGGCGGTAAGGGTCAAGTGGTAGAGTGCTAGCCTTGAGTAAAAAAGCTAGACAGCACCCAGTCCCAGTCCCAGTCCCAGAATTCTAGTCTCAGCACAAAAATAAACTAACAAATAAATGAAAGCAAAGATGCTAATATGTTGGTTACTTACTGGAAATTATGTTTTCAAAAATATGTTTAGAGATTATTTTGGTGTGATTGACATGTACTAAACCACTGTATATGAAGTTTTGACATATGTGTGTGTATACACACACACACACACACACACACACATATGGGGCTGGGAAGGTGGCTCAGTGGTAGAGTGCTTGCAATGCATGCATGAGGCCCTGGCTTCGATTCTTCAGCACCACATAAGTAGAAAAATCCGGAAGTGGTACTGTGGCTCAAGTGGTAGAGCGCTAGCCTTTAGCTGAAGAACTGAGGGACAGCGCTCAGGCCCAGAGTTCAGGCCCCTCCCCCCATCAGCACCAAAAAAAAAAAAAAAGATATATGTGTGTATATATCTGTATATGTGTGTGTGTGTGTGTGTGTGTGTGTGTGTGTGTGTGAGTGTGTATATATAATGTTCTCTTTAAAAATGTGCATGGGGGCTGGGAAGGTGGCTCAGTGGTAGAGCGCTTGCCTTGCATGCTCGAGGCCCTGGGTTCGATTCCTCAGCACCACATAAGCAAAAAGAAAAAAGCCGGAAGTGGCGCTGTGGCTCAAGTGGTAGAGCACTAGCCTTGAGCTGAAGAGCTGAGGGACAGCGCCCAGGCCCAGAGTTCAGGCCCCACAACCAGCAAAAACAAACAAACAAAAAAAACAAAATAAAAATGTGCATGGTAGGTAATATTTTGAAAACAATTTATTTTCAGGATGTGTGTGTGTGTGTGTGTGTGTGTGTGTATCTAAATCTTAGATGCTAAAAGTGAATCCTGACTTTTTTTTGTCAGTCCTGGGGTTTTGAACTCTGGGCATAGGCCCTGTCCCTGAGCTTTTGTGCACAAGGTTAGTGCTCTACCACTTGAGCCACAGCTCCACTTCTGGATTTCTGTGGTTAGTAGGAGTCTTTCTGCTTGTGCTGGTTTTTAAACCTCGGATCTCATATTCCTGAATAGCTAGGATTATAGGCTTGAGCCATAGCACCTGGCCTAACTTTCGGTTTTTAAGTTGTCAGTAACATCTGTGTCAACTCCCCTCTCCCTCCCTCCTCCCTCCCCCCACTGCATTGAGTTAGTGTGGAGGAGTTGACCATGCACCTCCCTAAGGTTGCCCTCTGTCCTTGAACACCTGATTCTCCTCCCTTTGCTTTACCCACGGACCTCATTTGGGCCACTGTTCCTTCCTCTTTTGTGACTAACTTTCCAATCTCTCTCAAGTTGTTCCTATCAAAATGGAAACATCTCTTACTATCTCAGTAGCTTTCTACATGGTTTACCCATCAAGCCTGTCAGTCTGTATACATCATAGCAGTCCCCAAATACCCCTTTACAACCTTAGATCATGTCCTTCCTGTGACCCAAACCTCCAGTGACTTCTCACATCAGTCAGAGCCGTCCATAAGACCCTTCATCAGTTGACTCTACTTCCTTCCTAACTGACCTCCTTCCTGTCTGCCCTTACCTCACTCTGGCTTTTTTAGACCCTGTCTCAGGGCCAGAGTACCTGTCCTATTCCCTTCACACCTCCAAATCCCAGCTGCACTCACTGTCCTGTGGTCCCTGAGAACATCTCTAATCATGCTGGTTAATCCGCTCCCTCTGCCCCAACCCTCCCCATTCCTCCTTCTGGAACTATAGAACAGTGTCAGTACAAATGCTTGCTTTTCGTGTGTGCTGCTACATTTGTTCTAGACTGTTGTTTTAGCATGCATGTGTCCTGAGGGTAGAAATTGTACCTGTTAGTCACTGTAGTGTCACTAGTGCTGAGAGCATCGGAGTTCAATCAGTGCTGTTGACTAAGTGACCTGAAAGCAATCTGGACTGGGATTAGTGCTTCCTTCCTCCTCATTTTACACAAGGAGGATGGTAGTTGCTGGTAGTCGCATATACTAATAGCTCTTTTCCATTCCTCAGTTTCTCTGTTTGAAGAACATCCGGACATTTCTTACATCCTGTTGTGAGACATTTGGAATGAAGAAAAGTGAACTCTTTGAGGCATTTGACCTGTTTGATGTTCGTGATTTTGGGAAGGTAATAGCATGTTTTATTTTCATTTTAAATTTAAATTGTTTTATATTTCAATTTTTTAAATGTTTTGCAGTACTGGAGATAGAACCCAGGACTTGACCTATGCCTGTGTCTTCAACCCTTGATATAGATATGAGACCCTTGTCAGAGAAGTAACTTCCTGTATCTTGGATTTCAGTAGCTATTGGTTAGACTTTAGTGATGTTTTTCAAGTAGAAGTAGTTTTAATATTTAGTGTTACTATGAGTTTAATAAATATATGATAGGCAAAAGAAATCATCCTTTCTAAGGTTACTTTTTTATTATAAAGAGATTGGCCATAAAGTTAAACCCCTTACAAAAATAGCTTTATATAAGCCAAGCAACTGAGGTAACATTACTTAATTCCTACTCAGGTGATTTTATTATCGAATATGAAGACATAGAAAAAAATCAGAGCTCAGTGGCCTACCATGCTCAAGGGCCTGATTCATTCCTCAACACTGTAAAATACATACATACATTTATATATGCATGCATACATAAAATGTTGAGAAATTTCCCCCTTTGTCTTTATTTTTTAACTCAGGTGGTAGTATTTTGTCAAAGGTCTGAGAGTAACACTTTATTATTGATAAGACCTAATATTTTGGTTACAAAATAAAAGGCAAATTATGGATTAGTTTACTTGGCAATGAAGGTATACCAAGTTAGGTCAAAACAACCAGACCCCATGGCTTAACTGTAATCTTAGCTGTTCAAGTGGCTGAGATTTGAAGATCAAGATTCGTAACCATGCTAGTCAGAAAACTCTATGAGACTTATCTCCAATTAGCCACCAAAAAACCCAACCAAACAAACCTGGAACTGGAGGTATGGTTGAAGTTGTAGAATTCCAGTATTGATCATGAAAACTAAAAGACTGCACCCAGGTCCTGAGTTCAAGTTCCAGGACTAGCACACACAAAACCCCAGACAAAGTCAGACCAAAGCATTAGAGATTTGATACTGAAATCCCACAAATTTGGGGAAGCTGTTCTCTGTAGGAGACTTAGGCCTGGGTTTTTTTATCTCTATGGTTTTGCTCTAGATTCATTTTGTGATATTTTAGGTATCACTCACCTTCTCTGTAGCAGCATGGCTTCTAAGATTTCTTCTTACCTCCAGCAAGCTGTAGTTCAACTGTCTTGTGATCCCAAATGAAATGGTGGAGAATGATGGTTGGTACAAGGAACTTAAATCCAGGCTCTTAGCGAGGGAATGGAAGCACATTTACTTATGGCCCTGAAATACAGCCGTAAAGATAAAGGGAAATCAAGTAGAGACCCAGATGAGTTGGACACTGATCTAAGGTGTTAGCCCTGAGAAACATGAGACAGGGCTTTGCGTTTATTCTTCTTTATTCTTTTCCTAGGCCTTAAAAAATCTCTGATTTTCACATTCTTCTTTGGGGAAATGAAAAATGAAAATGATTTAGGGAAATGAAAAAGGAAGAACTTTTTAAAGCTTATTGAGGACCAATTCATTTTTCAGTTAAATGCACAAGAAATAGTGGTGTTATGGGTTGAGAAATTATAGAAATAACCAAAAATGCATGATTTCATTCTGGTGGAATAATCTGGCCTGTTAGCTTCATTCAGTAACAAAACTTTTTATGAAAGCTGAGATTCTAAAAATTGAACGTGAAAGTATGAGCTGCATACTTTTTAGGCATATATTTATTTCTGGGCATTTACAATATTTTGGCAGAGATAAATCCAACAGAATTAAACTCAAGACTGTGGTTTATAATGTGAACTTGCACTTGCTGTTTTAGAGTCACTCTGCCAAAATTGGTGCATCTGTTACCTCGGAACTGTTGTTGAGCTGAAGAAAAGAAGTAAAAGTTAAGCAATTTGTGGTGCTACTCCAGATTTTTTGTACAACTATTATTAACTATACAATCAGAAATCTACTTTTCAGGCTTCCAATAGGTTAGGCTTGTCTACTTGCCCCAATATGCTAAGAAAGAGAGGAGTGATGATCCAGGGTGGAGAAAGGAGATTTGTTCTGTGGCATGAGGACATCACAGGAAGAACTATAATAAGCATTCAGCCCATCTTTGGAGTATAGACATGAGCTTTAGGTTTGACAGAGGAAGAATTGGGGCAGGGAAGCATACAGAGTTATAAAACATTCCTAGCTATAAGTGTGGTATGGTGTGATGGTCAGAGATGGTCACAGGTGTGACTAGTTGATCACCATCTCATGATTGGTCACGTGGGGTTTGGTTATGATGAGAAAGTCATGGCCGTTCAAGGGATAGTGCTGTCTCTTGTCTTTATCCAGAAGTCCTGTCATTTCTAGATTTGAAGGTGGCTGCAGGATGACAAATGTAGAATGATGGCAGGGGTATAAGGCTTTTTATTTATGCTGCTTCCAGTTAAATTGTGGGCCCAAGAGAGGAGACAATGAGTTTTAGCAAGAGCAGTCTCTAAGTAACTCTTACATAACTACTCCAAGTAAACTATTAGTACCACCAATAATTAATGAACACTGGCAAGGTGTAGATATCTTTTCAGTCTTTGTATTACTTTTTAAATCCTAATAACAACCATATGAAGTTGATGCTATTGACATCCATATAGCAATGAGAAAACCTATACTCCAAATTACCTAGTGAGGGGTTGGAGCAAATGATGTGAACTCAGAACTTACTGATTCTCCACTGTTGTACCATAGTGCAGGCATTTACAGAGCCCAAATAATGTACAGCATAATCTGAGGTGCTTTATCTGTATTAGCCAATTACATTTCCTACTATGTGAGTGGTATTAGCCCCATTTTATAGATTTTACGTTGGGAGTGATGGAACTGGGGTGGTTTTTGCAAATGTTCATAGAATTGGAGCAGGTTTTGTTTCCCTCCATTCCTTTTAGTATTTAATAAAAACTTCGGTCCATTTAAGATGAACACCATCTATGCTCATGTGCCTCATGCAAATAGTGAGTTTAGAATTAATGAATATTAAGCAACTTTTTGTCTAGGAATATAGTGATTATAACAATATGGCGTATTATTACAGCATTTTGAGGTTTTTTCAGAGTGCTTCATTTTACTGACCTTTGTTGATCTTTCATAATACCCTTGTAAACAACATTTTTTATTCAGTACACCATCCTTTCTGTGGTCTTGAATCCCTTCCCTCCTAGTCAGGTAGTTTTAGTGGTTTGATCAGTTGGGATCTCCCATTGCTTTGCAATGGTAATGGCCCCGGGATGTGTGAATTGCTCACTTGACACTAATGTGATATGCTTAGACATTTTCAAGGGTGTGGGGGGAATGAAGGGTGATTTTGCTCCCTCTGGTTTGGAAGTGGGTGGAAATGGAGCTATAGCTCTGTTAGTGCCACATTTAGTTTCAAAATGGCACCAGTTCAAGCTGTGCTGAAAATTGAGTGAATGTCTGTGGATTTTCCCATGAGCTAGTGCAGTCCTCTTTTTATCTTCTTTGAGTGAGTTTGTTTTGTAGTCAAGAGTGAGATAAATCTAAGAGGTTCTTCATGTTTTCTTAGTTCAATAATTTTAGGTATGGGGAGATGTTGTAGTTTTTAATCTAAGTTCTATGCAATGTGGAGACCATTTGTTAGTCTTTGATCATATCATGATGAAGAGATATGAGCCATTGTCCTAGAGTCTGTTTTGTAGCATGTACACAGTGAATGGCTTTATGTTAAATATTTTCTTTTCTTCCCATGGACCGAAAGAATTTCATAGGTGTTCAGGTTTGAAAGACTTTGAGCCATTGGGCAATTTTTCCAAGTCTGTTTCTGTTTTATAGAGATGAAGAAAATGAGCATGAGTGCCTGTAGATTGAAAACCTGCAGCCGTGTCTGATATGTGGGCTATACAGAATGGTTTGAAAATGACTGGGTAAAAAAGAATGAAAGAGCCTCCTAACTCTTTCACCTGCAGATGAATAAGGACCAGAGATATTCATTGATGTAAACAGCATAGTCAAGGAAAAGCCTAACAGCTTGTCACTGGACCCTTCTGATCCTTAGTTTCTTTGTCCATATGTGAGAATAACAATTTTTCTAAGATCAGAGGAGTTCAGGTACATTCAGCATCGTAAGGCTGTGGAGTGCCATTCTTACTGTGGAAGATTGTTGTGGAAACAGAGCTCATTTCTGTTCAAATGAGCTTATTACTCATTAAGTGATGAGTGAACTTAGATCTCATCTCGAACTAGTAGTTAGGGAAGACGCAGCTCATTCAGAGTTCTGGATGTGGGTAAATGTAAGAGGTAAGATCAGAGAACATTCCACTGGTACTTCCTTCAAACTTGCTTTGGTTCTCAATCAGATTATTAAGACACAAGACACATATGGCTACTTATATTCTTTTTTTCCTCTGCATAGAGATTACAGGTGGGAAATCTGCAGTGCAATTTTCAGTGAAGCTCTTTGATGCCATTAAGCTCATCAAGTGTTATCTCTCTCTCTCTCTCTCCCTCTCTCCCTCTCCCTCTCCCTCTCCCTCTCCCTCTCTCTCTCCCTCTTGGTCTTTGCTTAGGCTACTTTTAATTGGCTTTGTGTATTGTAAAGGTGATGAACAGAAAGGTTACAGTTACAAATGTCAGGCATTAAGTACATTTCTTTAACAGTCTCCCCTTCTCTCATTTTCTCCCCTTCACAGCCCTACATGTACATTATCCCTAAGCTTGTGTATCTAAGGATGCAAGGGCCACTGCCTGCCTGGCCCATGCTCTCCTGCCCAGCAGACCTCCAGCAGTTTTGTACCTATGTGAATAGCTAATATCCACATCACTATTCCTTGTGTTCACTCATCATGGGTGTTGCCATTTCCATGATGCATGATACCTGAGCACTTATCATGGTTTATTTTCCGGAAACTCTTTGGGTAGCTTTCCCAGTCATAAGAGATGTTTTCCAGCAAGGTACCAATGGCTCATATCTGTCATCCTGGCCACTGAGGAGGCTAAGATCTGAAGATCACAGTTTAAAGTCCTTAAGCCTTTAAAAA